AAAATAAATGAGTGTTTGGTTTGACTGTGTTGTATGCTTGTGATCTAAGCTTGCTTTCTAGATTGGACAAATTTTGCTTTCAGAATTGGCTGTCTTCCTCTGTTATGGTCGTTACTTTTTTTCCTTGTTTTCTATGTGACAAATGAAGTTATGTTCTATTACCACAATCTTCATTTAGTGTCTATAGTGTGTATATGTCTGGTCTTTCCAGTGAGACAACAAAAACTCCAGTGGAGGATCTGTGGGTCAGATTGATTGCTTTAAGTCAGCCAGTGTTCTATGAGCATCAGCTCTGTGTTCGGAAATGGACGTGCAGTTTGATGAATAACACTCTTCCATCTGAGGAGTTAACAGTTCAGCAGGAGAGTTAGGTATATTAGTACAAAAATACAATGATGGGTACAAAGAGTACCTCCATCCCCTCTGATTCTTAATTATAAAGTTAAGAAGGAGAATAAATGCTAAAGAAATGCTTGCCAACTGATGGAATAAAAATGTTTTGATTGGAAAAAGGCTTTTTGATGTTGCCTGTGAATCAAGCAGCATCTCAGATATTGTAGGGACCCAGAAGAGTTTTAGGTGAATTCATTGAGAAGTTCCAACTTTAAGGGCAGAAGACAGTAGTCTTGGGATGTAGTGAAAGTAAATAACAACAATAAAAAACAACCCTCATAATGTGAGGCCCAAGAAAGAGTGCTATAGATGGCTTTTAGAAAGGAAGAAGGCATATTTGGGCCAAACAGGATGGTCGAAGGCCGAGAATGATTCCACACAGATTGCGGATGGAGGGGTGGGCCTGAGGGACCTGGAGGCCAAGGAGGTAAGGGAGAGAAACTCTTAAGGTTGGAAGGGCAGAAGCTCGAAAGTTTGGCTGAACTCATGTGAGCGCTGGGGCATGGGCTCTAGGGGGAGGGCTTGTGCCTTAAAGCCCCTGGGGCCTAAGCTTTCCAGATTGGTGGGCTTGGGTCGGAGGAGTTAGGGGCTGTCATGGAGAGAAAGGTCTGTACCAAAATGCTTGTCCTTTCCACTGCTTCAGTGGGAGTGGGACCCTTCTTGGGGATTCTATTAAGCAAAGCTTGACTTAGTAAAGAGCCCTCAGAGCTGGCCAGCACTTTGACTGGAGTGACAGGGAACAGTTTTCTGGGGGAGAGCCTACCGCATTGCCTGTCCACACATCTTTCAGCTGTCTGTCCTGGCCTGGCCTTTCCTCTCTCCTTCCTAACCCTGGGTTGGTCTCTGCAGCTGCTGCTTTTCTGATCACTGGCAGTGATGAGATGGCAGAGCTCGAAAGACCTGGTGTTGCCAAGGTCCTTCTGGAGGCACGTGGAAGTCACCAGTAGGGGGCAGCCCAGCATGCTCCTTAGTCTTCTTGGTCCTGTCCAGGGGCTCTGGGGCAGGGATCAGAAGGCTTTTAGACTGTTTGCTTTTGGGTGGTCCAAGGAACCAAGGACTTGGGCCCTGGTGTATTTGGTCACCTAGTAACTGAGAAGCCCTGGGGTCCAGCTTCCCTGCGGTCTTTTCCTTTGCGGCTTTTTTTGGCTCTCCCTCTTTCTTTCCCCCCTTCCTCCCTGCCCTCCCTCCTTCCTTCCCTTCCTTCCTTCCTTCTCTCTTTTTTCTTCATACATTTAAAAAATTCATAAAAATGTAATGATATAACAATAACTTCAGATGCATATATTCAGAACTGACACTTTAACATTTTTGTCTTTTTTGTTACAAAGGCTTTTCTCTTTTAAGAAAAGAAATAGTTTAGTAGTTTAATAAAACAGTTTAACAGTTTCAGTTTCTTTATCCCTGATGCAGATCCGTCTCCTTTCCCAAGGTGACTTTCCTTGCAATCTTCCTTTTGTACTTTACAACTATCCTTGACTATGAACACTATGTGGTATTGTTTTCTGTCTCTTTAAAAGTTCACATCAGGTGTTTTATATGATATGTACATATCAGTTTGAAATTTTGCTTATTTTTCTTTCTCACTTAGCATGAGTATTTCTTTCTGCTCAGATATAAAGATCTGGTTCAATCTACCGTAGTTATTTAACACGCCTCATTTTATTCTCTTTCTTAACTGATGGACACTCTCCATGCACCAGATTTTTATTCTGACTGTGTTACCATGAATGTTCTTGTATATGTCTCCTCGTGTGCAGGAGTGAGCATTTCTCTCAGGTGAAAACCTAGAAATGGAATTGCCGGACTCTGTAAAGCGTGTGATGTATAATTTTCCAAGATGCTGGCAAATTACTCTCCAAAGTGCTTGTGCCAATTTAGACTCCCTCCAACAATATAAGAGAAATACCCCACATCCTTAGCAATGCTTTAATATTGTCAGATTTTAAACATTTTGTCCAGCTAGTGGCAGAGAAATGGTAAGTCCATGTGACTTTGGTTTGCATTTCATATTCCTTGAGGGGTGAGCAGATTTTCATATGTTCCTGGGTCGTTGAGGTTTCTCCTTTGTGAATTGTTTGTTATTAACTTTACTGGCTCCCATTCTAACCCTATGATTCCTCACGTAATGGTGTCTAAGGAGCGTTTCTTAAGGGGTAGATTTCATGAGCAATTTATAGCCCACGGCTATGTTGTGGGCCTTTCTGCAGATGGTAACTTATGAAAGGGAATTCTTGGCATCTAGAGGGGCAATTGCTGACCTTTTAATCCAGCTCTTCTGTTGCTTTTTTCCATTTTGACCAGGAGAAAAATTCATTCTTTATCCAGGGCATCCCTGCCTTCACAGTGGAAGAACATTCTTTAATGACCATTTTTAATACTTTCACATGGTTCTTTTGATGGTTTTCAACAAAATCTTTTGTCTGGTCTTAGATTCAAGAACAGGTACGCTTTGCTTAATATCTGACTTATTTTCACCTCATGAACACTGTGAAGTTACCACTGGCTAAATGTATCCCCCTTTCCTTCTTTTCAGGGACAGTGGTCACTGGAAAGCTTACAATTATGCTTGTGGCCCTTTCCCAGCATTTTAAACCCAATTCCTAGCTCCACTGATGTCTCTGCCCTGGCTCTTCTTTCTATTATGCCTTTCATTTTTATTTATGTTAGCTTGCTGTATTTTATTGAATACAATAGGAGAGTTTATAAATTAAAAATCTGACAAAAATGAAATACCAATAAAATAAAGGGCATAAATAACTAAATAAAAAGTTAAAAATAAATGCCTTGTGCCACAGACATTGACTAAATACCTCCTGAGTGTCAGGCCCCTGTCATAAGCATGGAGGATGCAGTGATGAGCCAGCAAAGAGAGCTGGAGAATCTCTCAGACAGTTTCAGAACAGTGACAGCCACCATGCTAGCGCAGCTGTAAGCAGTGAACAAGCTTCTCGGGAATTCTGGTTGTGACCCCAGAGGAAACCTTGCCCATGTTATTTGTCCTTTTTTCTGCCAGTTGCATGAAAAAAAGCATTAAAATGTAGGGCCCTCTTGAATGCAGCTCTTATTGGGAGACAATTTAGAAGAGGGAGATCACTGTGGTTTCTACTGAAAATGTTAGTGGATTGAAAATCTTGGAAAAATGTGTGATAATTTTGAAACATTTCGTAAAAACTCTTAACGTTGAAAATTGTTGTTTGAGAACCAAGATCTTTGAGCAGAAGATGCCCTTCTATCTTGGACGTTTTTTTTTATGTAACAGGGGCAATGTTTATGTGGGTCCTTTTAAAATTATTTATCTTTGGTGTAATTTTGTTCCCTCAGAGCATTTACTTATTTTGCTTTATTTCTAAAATATATTTTCTAAAAATGGGTGCCCCAATACTTACCATGTATTTTGACATCTATTTTTTTTTCCTTCTTTTGGATTGGGTAGAAGGAATCTGTAGATGCTGTATCTCCTCCCTCATTGGTTACTATTGTTTTCATTTTAATTCATGTTGTTAACAGTAGAGCTACATATTTGTTTTCAGTGTCTTAATTGGAATGTTATGTATCTTAAATTTTTTGAAGAAGAAAGGGGAAAATCCATCCTAATACAACTTCCTCGAGTGCCTTTGGAACTCCAGGTGTTGCCCATCCATCCATCCATCCATCCATCCATCCATCCATCATCCTTGAAGACCTACATTGTGCAAGGTTCTTTGCTAGATGCTGTGGTGCATGTTAAGAATTATAAAGCAGGATCCAACTGTCTTCAAAAAGAGATTCAGCTATAATCCCAGAGAAAGAGAGACTCTGTCATGGCATTCACGTTTTAATTTAAGGGAAGCTTCTCATTAATCTAGTTGAGGTCACAGGCACATTTCTAAGCCAGTCCTCATGATCCAGGGGATAGAACTCTTCACGCAGCCAGAGTTACCAGTTTACTCCTATATTTGAGGGTTTGGTGAACGGGGAAGAGGAGATTTCTGTAGAGAGCGCGCTAGGGCAATGTGGGGTTTGTGAGATGTGGTTCCTGAAAGGAAAAATTGATTTTATTACTGACGAAAGCAGAACGAGGGGATCCTGGGCCAGGAAAAGAGAGAGTTGGAAGGAAGGGAGGGAGGGAGAGAGAGAAAGGGGGAGGGGAATCTTCTTCAGTGTTTCAGGAGGTAAAAGGAGGGAGTGACTGCTTCTCTTGGAATGTGAGGAAAGATGTGTTTTGTCCTCTGTGTGGTGATGCCAGCTTCCCTGTGGCTGTCACCATAAGAGTGAAATGCTTTTGAGAGGTAGTAGATGCATTTCCAAGTTATTTTCACCTCTATACACAGGGGATACCTTGAGTGGAGGGGCAAACTGAACTTGTTAGTTGAAAGAGTAATAAAAGTTTAAGAAAAGAAAATGAAACCTGGTGATCCTGTCATTGACAATGCAACCTGCTCAACCATGGTTTCTCCTCAGTCTCATTTGGTTTTGCTGCCCTTGCTGTATTTAAAATAAATGGTGGGGCTAGGTGGGTGGGGAGGGATTGCCTTGAGCAGCCTGGTGAGGTTGGATGGAAATTACCCATTTTTTTATGGACTGCCTGAATTCTGAGTTACTAGTTTGCACTCTGCTTTTTTTTGCAGTTACATTGCAAATCAGAAAAGATTAGAAATCATCAACGAAAATGATATTGAAGCTTATGTGGGACTGAAAAACCTGTGAGTACTCAGGGCTTGCATACCTTATCTCAGAACTTTTTCTTATGCTCTGTTACCGTCAGAGGGACAGTCGTCTGTTAGCTCTAACATACATGCAATTATGTGTTTTCTTAGGACCATTGTGGATTCCGGATTGAAATTTGTAGCTCATAAAGCATTTCTGAAAAACAGCAACTTACAGCACATGTAAGTAAAGGTTGATTCTTTTGCTTCCCAGGACCCAACTTATTCAATATTTTCCCCCTCTGTTTATTTTTCCTTCTTCTCCAGCTCTAAACCTCCTTTTAAAAAGTTAGTGTAGCTTTGACAATAGCTTAGAAGCATTAGCTTTGATTTCTGAATAGCTTTAGAGGGGTACTTAGAACAGCCTGCTTATTCCCTTTCATGAATTTCTGGGCCATTTCCATCTTGGACAGAGCAATAGGCCAACAGCAAGGAGTCTGATGTGAAAACTATGTCCTGGTACAGCGTCCTCGATTCTTTTCCTTGGAATCATGACATGTTCCCTGGAAGACATCAAACTAGTGGAATTGAAAGAAACTGACTTGGCCTTGGCCTTTTTAGGGAACTAAAAATTGCTAATGCTCTTCCTCCCCCAACAGATCCTCTTTTGAACCTTCTTTTCCCAAAAGCTATGTGTCATGATTGATGGAAGCGGAGAAAACTCAATCATGGAACATGCCAGAGGTTCAGGCAACTGTAACAATAGCAAATGCTTCCACCGAAGTCAGGGTGATATCAACTGAAGTCAAATGGAAATACGGACAGTGGGAGCTCTTAGGTTGTTTGCTGCTAAATCTTCTTAGATGATGGCAGTTGGTCAGTAAGGTGTGGCCTTCCTGAGACGTTTCTTCATGAAACAGAGGATCACCCTTAAGCTCTGATGGGCGCCTTCCACCCCGAGTTTTCAGTAGGAACTTCTGTGGCAGGAAGGTTGCCTGCATTCATTGGCCCTTTTGTGCTTTGCAGATGCTCTGCAACAATACCTTATGTGTTTCATAGACTACGATCTACATACAGAACTCTCACGTGGTTGATCTCACTTGATTCTTCTGACAGTTGGTAGGGAGGATCTTCTTGATTCCCATTTCATAAGTGCAAAATCAGACTCAGGTCCACAGATGGAAAGTGGCAGACTCAGGGCTCACTCCTGGCTATGTTCTTTTAGTAAGAGGACAGAAAATAAAGTGTGTTTTCCATATAATGAGAGAATCAGCCCTTCTCGTAACATTTGTCCTCTTTCTTTTTCTTGGGGAGAACTGTTCCCTGACTGATTTCCAGGCCAGTTTGTAAAAGAAATCGTTCTCTTCGAGCAGATTGCCTGGACACTCTATGGAGATCTGTGGATCTTATGAAAAACCTTAATTTCATCAAGCCGGTACAATGACTTCATATTTCATAGGTGGCATTAATGAGGAAGTCAATTTAAAAATAAAGTCAGTAGAATTAAGATATAAAACTTTTGGCAAAAAGGTGACAAAACTCCAAGGAACTTTATTAACACATTTCATGTAGAGGCTTTTTGGCAACATCTCCGTAGTTGGTTTGTCTGCACAAATTCTGATGTCTCGCGTAGGCCTTGCTAGCATAAACAAGAGAGAAGTTGGACACAAGAAAAAGGCAAAATGCTCTAATGCAATCACTTAAGTGTAATTAATGACCTCAGTGGTTACATTCTGGTATTTTCATTACTGCTGACTGCAGACCTGAATTACTGAATGACCACGTTTTACTGGTTGTTTTACTACATCACTTCCCCTAACGTAGTGATCTATATAGTGGGCTATGGTTAATTGTTTTAGAAATAGACCTGTTTATGACTTTGCTATGCCTCTTATATTTTCCCTACTTCCCTTGTTCCAAGTTATTTATATGAAAACCAAAGCCACCTTTTGTATTTTTTTCAGACTGATTTATGGTAGAATAATTTTAATGGTATTCTGTGTGCTGTACATACTTACATAAAGCCAAATATTAGTCCCAGTCTCCCAAAGAGGTGTCATTTGAAAATAGGAAACCAAGGAGATGGACGTATCTTATACAGCTTCTTTAAAAGCCAATAGTTGGGAAGCCCAGTTACTGATCAGACCGCAAAAATTACTGGTATTCGTAGCCATTGTCAAATGGTAAGGCAGTAGGAAGTCAGGCTAATATTCAGACAGTTAGAAAGAAGTTACAATGTCAGTAAGCTTCAGATATTCACGTGATGAAAGAGTCTCCTAATCGCCAAAATAGAAATTAAATTAAGCAGTTGGCTCTAGGGAATGGCAAGGAGGAGGAAATTAAGTCAGTTGTCTGCCTTTCCAGACCTGGGTCTCAACTTCTGCTTATGACTGAAGGTGCTGGCATGTTCTCCCTGATTTCCGCACGTAGTAAACGGCATCTCTAGTTGAACATCAGCACCATGGCTGCAAGGGAGCTGATAAAGAAATGTGTATGAGAGGCTGTTTCTCTGTACCCTTGGGATATAATGATTATCTGAGTTTCTCCAATAAAATAAAAATGTACACAAGAGCATCTATCTCACTTTGGGTTTTAGCGGAATTCAGACTGGATCCTGTCTGTCACCTTCGTCATTCCTCCCCTAACCTGTACACATTTAGCTTCCCATGCTGACCGTCCAGAGCCCCTAGGACTGGTCCCTGAGTTTATTTCTTGGTGCCTTTAATTCCTGCCCGGCCCCTGAGAACCCAGAAACTGTGAGAAAAGCCAGTATTTGTGTTTTCCAGGGACTTTGCAGAGGTGCTAATTAGCTCCTTTGCAAAAGTTCTATAATCAAACAGTAAGAGGATTGTTGATTTTTTTTCCTTCCCTCCTCCTCCCATTTGGCTTTTGGACCCAATAATAAGTATGGTTCATAAAACTCATCTTGTTCTTTGGCGTGTAACCCTGCTCTGGGCTGTGCTGCTAGCAGCCTGACAGGGCAGCTGCCCCGGTGCCGGCCTTGCTAGCCGACCCAGAACCTTGACAATGAGTGTGTCCTCTTTCTTTGCCTCCTCGCTCCTCTTTCTTCTTGGGAGGAAGAATAGGGTTTTTGTTTCTGTTTTTGTTTTTTTTTCCTTCAGAAGGATGGGGATTTCTGATGGAGATGAAAACATTTGTGCCTTACAGGCTCTGGTGAAGACAGGCAGAGTGACTTGTCAGTGTATTATACTGCAGTGAAACCCATTCTTAATTCACGTTCCAAAAGAAAAGATTTATGTGGGCACATTTTACAACTTCCCGCTGGATTATTTTTTCACGTGGGTGAGCACTTTACACTCAGTGTGAGGAGAGAAGATGCCAGCGTAGAAGGAAGAGGGCACCCTCTTGTAGATGGGGGTTTGGATGAGAGGAAATCTCAATATAGAATTAAGCTGGGAGTGGCCGTGTGCCTTCTTCATTTATGAGATGCTAAAGTGGCATTTTCTTTATCCATCAGCTGACTAGTCTTAGTTCATGTATTAGCTCCCCCTGGTCTTTAACCCTTCTGTGAAAGAGACTGGCCAGACAGACCAGCAGACTTCAGCCCACGATTTGGTGAGACAGACGCAATAGACTAGCCTCAGTGAGGCCAGGATTGCTGTCGCCGCAGATTTCCCGTATTTACCTGACTCTCAGACCGGTGCTCACCTTCCTGAACGGGAATCAGATACTGAAAGGCTCATGGCAAACTGTTGAGGGCTCAGCTGTTTTGTAAAATTTGATGTTTGTTTTACATTCATGTGACTCATGAAACACACGTCTAGAGGACCAAGCACTGCACACGCTTTAAATAAATTTGACCGGTAAACAAATTCACAGAGCGAGTCAGCTGCCAGGATTAAGGGTCTGAATTTCCCAGCTCAAGGTCTCATGGCACTGATCATTGGAAACCGAAACTCCCATTCCCTTGAATAAAACTACATATTTGGAACACATCAGTAAATTCATTATTATTTTTCAGTCACAAATAGGACATCTTTTCATTGTCTGGTTGGTCCACATCTTAAAATGATATGTTGCTAGAATATTTCCAGATAAAATTTGACATAGTTTTATCTGATATTTTGTTGTTATTCTCATCACGAATTTATCTAGTTATTTGGAAGTCATGTATAAACAATCTCAGCAGAGTTTATCAATCAATAGGTGTTATCTTTCCTATTAGGATGTGTTAAATTCAGTTAATATTCAGAGTTTCGTGTGTCGTGTAATTTCAAAATATTCATGATGCTTTTTAGTTTTAAAGTATCTTTTCCCCTAGTGAGTTTATGGTTTAAATTTAACTTAGTTTAATTTAATTTCCCTATTAATTGTTCAGTAGATCAGATATCTCTAGGAGGTATATAACTTGGCTCTGAATATGAAAAAGAAAATTTTGGGTAAAAAAGAGATTCAAAATAACCATTACGAAAATTATACCCCCTCAACCCCACTCTCGAGCAAGAATTATAGGAGAGGCAGGGAAAACTAAGTTATTACTCTAGGTGAAAGAAGGAGATTACTGGATCTAAAGTACGGCATGAACCATGATCACATAAAATTACATTTTGAAAAAAACTCTATTTGAATACTTTATTCCTGAAATGTACACTTGTAATTCACATTTAATGTTTTTGATTCCTTTCAGCAATTTTACCAGAAATAAACTGACGGTATTGTCTAGGAAACATTTTCGTCACCTTGACTTGTCTGAGCTGTAAGTAATGATTTTGTACGGCATTTGGGGAAAAAATTTCCAAAGGAAAGTGTAATCACGTATTTTTTAAAATAAGTGATGCTGCAGGTCTATTTTTATATCAAAACTCATGAAAAATGACTTTTTAAATTTTGGTCATTTGTTCTTTTATTCCTCCATGAAAACATGATTCAGCAGTTAAAAAAAAAAGAAAAGAAAAGAAAAGAAATCTCGGTAGTAATATATCATTTATAATGAGTTTAAATGTTGTTTTTACATGAAAGACTTGTTTTCTAAAGGAGGGAAAATGAGAAAAAGATGAGGGTTTTGTGTGAAAAAGGCGGCAACATGTCTCATAGCATCTGTTTGGTCCCTGTTCTGTCCAGGCTCTAATGGAAAGCAAACCCATTCAAGGAGAAACAGCAATGGGCAAAACTCCTCATTTTATACCCCGACGACAGTGCCTGCGCTCCCTTAGTGAACATTTGAGGAGAGGCAGTCCTCTCCCTACCCGACCATCCTTGTGAGATTTCCTTCTAGGTCTGCCACTGCATTCAGGATTTATCCTTATCCCCAAATCCCCTTTGCTGAAAAATGATAGGGAAGATATTGAAATGTATCGATTACTAATAGCCAGCATTTCCAAGTGTGCTTAATTCTTGTGTTATCACCGTGAAGCAAATATAAACTGTTGACATTCCTATGGGTCAGGTACCCAAAGAACCTTAAAGCACAGGCTCTGTGTGTCAGAGGTGGGCCCAGATGGACAAGGCCTTTGAATACCAGGCAATAGCTTTTGCTAAAACTATCTGTTGCCTGAGTTGTAGGGTCCACCCCTATTCACAAGGAAATCGTGCAGATTAGAAGATGCCACTAGTAGTGCGATAACAAGTTAATAGGTAGTCATGAGAGTTACATGGTGGCAATTCTTTCGGGAGAGACTTAATTCAGGGAGTTGAATCACTGGCTTTCTAACCCAGGGATACGCATAAAAAACTTAAGGAAGTTATGTGCAATAAAGTAGGCTACTCAGTGTAAAAATTTTGAGCATCATTGCAGAGAATTTTCTTGATGGGTTAAAAATTAGAGTTCTGATTTCAAATTCACATGTCTCAATACCACCGCTGCAGCATATTTAATTAATTCATTCAACAAATGTTAATTGTGTACCTGTTGCAAATCAAACTAACATGGCACTAGGCCATAGGGATATAAGGAGAACGGTATCTGTACTCCAGGACTCTGCTATCCAGGGGGAGCGGTAGAAGCCTGAACAAATTAAGTACAACACGCTCTAACAGTCGCTGCAAAAGGAGTTTGTACAGTGTGTGAGAGGAAGAAGCCAGCTGTCTGCCCGTGCCGTGTGGTCAGACGAACGTTGCTGTCTTTGTAGCTCAAGATCCCTTTGCTTCTTTATCTCTTCTGTGGATTCAGTCGTACCTGCTTTCAAAAAAGATTTCGTAGTTTTTCATGGACTCAGAACACCAGGAAACCTCTTGGATTAGTTGGGGTTTAAACATTGTGGATATCATCTGCATTATATTCCATACCTAGTAGTCTCAACTCTTATTTTGGTGTTGGAGGGATATTTGGAGGCAATCAAGCAGACACAAATTAAACGAGTCTGCCAGGACCACATTTTCTCCAAGGAAACTCCTGGAAAAGTCTCCAGGGATTCCCTGAGATTGTTAGAACCCAACCAGAAAACCACAGGAGTAAATGATGTTGCAAAGCCCAGGTCCTGTCCTCATGGAAATCTTAAGTATTGTGGTTAATGCCAGGCAGAGCCTATGTAATGATTTTAAATGGCCTCATTTAAAGGCTCATTGCCATAAATGGAAGTCATTTTAAACAGGCCACTGAGTGTTATAAATAAGCATTTAAAGATTTTTTTTTTCTTGTGGTTTTTATTTTCCTCTTGACTACTTCCTCCTTGACCAATCACAGGCCACAGGAGTCCAGGCAGCATGGCTGAATAGTGACTTTCTCTTTGCAGACCCTCCCACAATGGGCTAAGTAGCTCAGTCTGGACCTCGGTTGCACTTGCTCTCGGAAACCCTGAGCTTGGCGTGTGTGTGTGTGTGTGTGTGTGTGTGTGTGTGTGTGTGAAGGAGGTCTAAGAGCTCCCTTCCAGGTTCTGTCTCTCACATTCACTCCAGCTTTCTTGCATCAGTCAAACTGAACTGTGGTTGCGTTATTTGGAAAGCTGGGAGTGCACCCTCCTGGCTCTCACACTTTAGTCTTAGCCTTGTATTCACAGTCTCGTTTTCAATTCAGATGAAATCGCTCTGCACTCTACTGAAGTTCGAACTTTTTAAGCGATAACACTTGAATCTCTAGCCTGGTTAGACATAAGTATGTTAGTGTTCCCGAAAACTTAACGTTGGCTTCTTCACTTAAGATCTTCATAACTGTATAATATCTGTGATAAATTTGTTACGGTATCTTATTTTCCCCCATCTTTTGAGACATCTTTTTCTATCCTATATTATAGTTATTTCTGTTCCTACCTTGTTTCCCTATGGGTCCGAAAGGTCTCACATCACTTTGCATCCTTTAGCCTCTACAGGGGTGTCTGCACATAGCAGAATATCAGTAAGTATCAGATAAATGAATGAATAATAAGTACCGTTATGCTATAAAGATGGGTGTGACTTCCAAAGGTAGCCGGCTAGAAGAAATTCATAATGCTGTTAGTGCTTCATAAACACTTCTGTAGCTAAAACTGAAAAAGAGAAGGCTGACTGGATTTCATTTTTGTTCCATGTAGGATCCTGGTGGGCAACCCATTTACATGCTCCTGCGACATTATGTGGATTAAGACTCTTCAGGAGACTAAACCCAGTCCAGAAACTCAGGACTTGTACTGCCTCGATGAAAACAGCAAGAATATTTCCCTGGCAAACCTGCAGATATCCCATTGTGGTAATTTACTTTTAAATCAATAAGTTCTACTTGCTATTAATTATTCTAATTCCCTTGGTGTGGTAGAGAGTCTGGGACGGTTACCACTACCTGGATTTTATATGTATGCTGTTGATATCTCCACTGAGTTGGGCCACTTTCGTGTGCAGTGTAGAGAAATCAGCTGGGAGAAACTTTGCTGAGTGTTCTTTGCCAGTAGAATATTAATTCTGAATGGTTGACTTTAAAGTGCACAGAGAAAAAAATACACTGTTTATTCCTTTGTTTCTTTGTTCGTTTGTTCATCCATCCAACTATTCATCCAAAAAGTATTGGCTGAGAGTGTGGTACTTCACTGGCCACAGATATAGTTGGTTGGCACCTAGGCCATGCAGAGGAAGGATCTCAGGGGGATCAAGTGTCCTGGCAGCACAAGAACATGCAGCTCAATCCAGAACATTCCCTCACACTTGTCCTGTTGCCGGATGTCAGTGTATCTTGATGGGGCACCACAAATCCGCCCTTTGACTTGCTTTCCCCCATTTCTGGGTTTACAATCTCCAGAATTTAAAAGGGCATCATATGATAAAATTAACAGCTCTGTGAATGCCAGTGTGTTTACAAGAAGGGAAAATCCAAGTGTTCTGGTTAGGATTTTACTGCTAAGGGCTCTTGGGACATGCCTCTGCAGTACCCACATATGCATATTATTCCTGAGTTGAAATTTTAATCAGTTAATCAGTTAACATTTAAATGTGATCTTCTCGCCTAGTGGCTGGTGACACAGCAGAAAGCCACATAGCACCTGGTTCTTGCCCGAGAGGAATCTGTATATTAACCGTAAACTTCCAGGTCTTTGTTTTCAGAGGATCCTGTTGTTTGGAGTCAATTTTTATTTAAGGAAAATATAGCTGCTGCTCTTTTTTTTTTTTTTTTTTGCGGTACGTGGATCTCTCACTGTTGTGGCCTCTCCCGTTGTGGAGCACAGGCTCCGGACGCGCAGGCTCAGTGGCCATGGCTCACGGGCCCAGCCGCTCCGTGGCATGTGGGATCTTCCCGGACCGGGGCACAAACCCGTGTCCCCTGCATCAGCAGGCGGACTCTCAACCACTGGGAAGCCCCCCTAGCTGCTGCTCATTTTTAATGAGAGTGTAATAAAGGAGTGATAAGTGTTTGTTTCTTCCCCTGCAGGGTCTTAGAAGACAGCAGTTACTCTTCCCACAGATTTTTGTTGTAACGAGAGCCCTTTGGTTTCATAATGGGGGAATTAAGCTTTGTTCCCTTGTTAGCTTCCCTTGACTTTCATTATTAGCCAGTATTAAAAAAATTTTTTTAATATCTATCTTTTCCTGATTGATAAGAGGATAACTGTTCTCTGTTCTGGTATAAATTTGTACTGCTGAGAGAAATTGCCCAGAGGGACAAGAAATTCAATGTTGAGTCACCTGGCTGCTTGGCCAGCTCCCAGATCCCCATGGCTGTGTGGCCACATTGTTTCAGCAACCACTGAGAGGAAAAAAGAGAAAGCATCTGACTCCTGCTCTGATTTCACAAAAGGCCTCTTAATAGACGTCTGCTTTGCCCTTGCCTGAAACCAATTCTCTTTTTTTTTTAATTTTAATTTTTGGCCATATTGTCTTGACAGCATTCCTGTAATGTACCCACCTAATGTGCTGTTGATAGACCGCTGTGACTGGAGCAGGGGAGGGGTAGGAGTGAGCTGGTTCTAATTTTTCCTGACCACTTTGTCAATTTTCAGTGTTTTAAAATTTGTTTCCTACAAATTTGTCAATGAACTGTGTGTATGAGAGTGAGGCTTTGAATCCACTGTCAGAGGGCATGTGTTTGATTGATTAGGATTGAATGATTACATTTATGGTAATTTCAGGGTCAGCAATGCTCTTCAGAAAGCAACATTAGAAAAGGTGAACTGATAGACTTACTTTTTTGTGTTCTTAAACTGTCTTGTTCTTTCTCTGCTAATTTTTATTTTCTTTCCCAGTGTTTTTTACTTATTTATAATTGCACACATACTATTGATACATTTTGTTGCAAAAGTAATTTCTACATTTACACATAAAGCTTATCTTTACTTGTTTGTGACCATTTCAGGTCAGAAGCCATCGATCTATCCTATCTTTTTAATCATTGTGTGTTATTCACGGTAGAATATATCTTGATTATGTTAAATCTTCCATATTGATGGGCATTTCCCATTTTACTACAAAAGTGTTTCAACCAACCTCCTTATACATGATCTTTGTACATGCATACAGATGCAAAGATTTTTCTAGAGTACATAGCGGGAAGCAGAATTTTTGGTTAATATGGTTTGCACATTAAAAAGTGGTTGTACCAATTTATAGCCACCCCAGCAAAGTATACCTTGATATTAGCAAACTTCTTATTTTTTGTATCTCTAAAACACGGTATGTCATTGCTTTTTAGTTTGCACTTTCCTGGTTGCCATTGAGTATCTTCTATGTTTATTAGACATTGTGATTATTCTTCCTTGAATGGCCTATTTATACCTTTTGTCTATTTTTCTACAAGGTTATTCCTTTTCCTTCCTTTTCTTCCACTGACAGTGTTCTTTGTTTTATTTTTTCTTAATTGTTCGAAAGTTATAAATTATGTTTCTCTGTTTGTAAATATACAGTGCCAAAATTTTTTTTTTTAAGAAGATGTTGGGGGTAGGATTTTATTATTTTTATTTTTGCTGTGTTGGGTCTTCGTTTCTGTGCGAGGGCTATCTCTAGTTGTGGCAAGCAGGGGCCACTCTTCATCGCAGTGCACGGGCCTCTCACTATCGCGGCCTCTCGTTGTGGAGCACAGGCTCCAGACGCGCAGGCTCAGTAGTTGTGGCTCACGGGACTAGTTGCTCCGCAGCATGTGGGATCCTCCCAGACCAGGGCTCGAACCCGTGTCCCCTGCATTAGCAGGCAGATTCTCAACCACTGTGCCACCAGGGAAGCCCAGTGCCAAAATATTTACCACACATATTTAAACATATTTTCTGTAAGTATCTAGAAAGAACCCCCAACAAGATTAGAAAAGATACTTTTACTTCCCTTTACTTTCTCCTCCCTTCTCTGATTGTTATCCTCTGAGATTTTATTTTTTATTTATTTACTTTTTAAAATTAAATTTATTTAACACACATAGAGCTAATTCAAGTAATGAGATTTTATTTTTAGACTATTACTTGATGTTTTTGAGGATTTACTGTTTCTTTTTATATCATTGATTTTTGTATTCCACTACTTCCTCTTGGAGTGGTTTTTCTTTTTGCTGGAGTATATCTTCTAGTATTTCTTTCAGAGAAATTAAAAAAATAAAATTCACGTTCTTGCCCAGTGCAAAAGCAGCCTGTATTTTTTCTTCTCATTGGAATTGGCTGAGTGTAAAATTCTAGACTCCAGATAACTTCCTCTTAGAATTTTGCAGATATTATACCACGTTCTCTGTGTGTTCATTGTTGCTGATGAGAAGCCCGAGGCCAGTCTGATGCTTATTTCTTGATAGGTAACCTATGCTTTTCTTTTTCTCTAGAAGCTTTTAGGATTTTCTTCTTATCCATGTTATTCTTAAATTTTACTACACTGTAACTAGGCATGTGTGCATGCTTAAAATTTTATTTTGTTTGACATGCAGTGAACCTTTTCAATATGAGTGTTCACATCTTCAGTTCTGGAAGAATTTTCTAATTTATTTAGATGGTTATTTACACTTCAGGCTCCTCTCTCCATACCTCTCACCCTTCCTGTAATACTTTCCATCTGCTTGTCCTTTTGTGCTGCATAATGGGAGAATTGTTTACTCACTACTTTGCCCTTCAGCTATTTCTCCAGCTACTGAATTTTCCCTTCTGCCAATTGATTTTTAATTTCTGAAATCTCTAGTGACTTTTTTTTTTTAGTGACTGAAATACGCTTTTCCATACTGGGGTTCACCATATCTCTAGGGTACCTAGCATGACTGACTTTCTCCTGTAAACTTCCTGCACTCATTGCTTCTACTTGGGGGCAGCTGCAGCAGTTGTTGGATGCTGTGCCTGAGGTGGGAGGGCAAAGGTAGGATGTGGAAAGTTTATTCCTCTGTGCTTCTACTTGTTTTCTTAACCAGTGACCTGGTGGCTTAGTGGAGGGGAGGCCCCACTCTGCCCTGCCGTCCACCCCTAGTCTCAGGTCAGCCCAGCAGCTTCCCTGTTTTGTGTGGCACATACTCATGTGTCTGTTGGGAACTGTGCTGTTTTTCTTTCATTTAATTTCCCCACTTTCTCTTCTTCAGGAGTTTCTCATTGTTCTTATCCACCAACAGTTATACCTTCTGATTTTCCAACGTGGTTCTGGATTTTTTAAAAAATGAACCTAATTTCTAGAGATTTGAGATGAGAGGGGGAGCCTTCAGTTTGGGTCTTAGTCATGTATTAATTTTCCTCTTGATGGTTTCCCAACTTTGGTTCTTTAAGAGAAGTTAGGCAGATTGAGCAGTAAATTATGCTACATTGTTGAATTTAAATTCTGTCTCTGAAATTCCATGTTGGAGAAGTTGGATAATATCCCCAAGTCTTCAAGTTAGATGTCTTGTTTAAAACATGGATTCACGGTCAGTTGGCTTTTCTTTTAGGTCTCACCCTCAGCAAACTTTTAAAATATACCTGTTGTGTTTAAGTCACAGATTCACGGAGTTCATTGTACTTCCACTTTTTTTTTTTTTTTTCTTTATAAAACTTGTTAGCTAACTCAAAAAGTAACTCATAAGAGTATGGTCTTGTGTATTTCATCACTGTAAACCCAACAATTTGCCAGTAACTACGGCCATTGTATTTGGTTTGCAACTGGTAATATTTTAATTTCCATAAAAAAGAGCTATTGGGATTTCATTCCTTTATGAGGTGGGCTTTCTTTAAAAAATTCCTCTTTTAGTATTTCATCATGTAAGCATTATATGATGAACAAATTCTCTACATTTTATAAGCAAAAATATCTCCTCCATGGTGCCTGATGTATCCCCTGAAC